CCAGCCGGGACCCACCATGTCCGGCTGGGAGACGCCAGACGCCCCCGACAGTCAGAGGAAGCGTGCGACGCAGGCAGGGGAACGGGACGCCGGCCCTGCACCATCGCTACCAATGGGACAACGGGCACCGTGTGGGAAATCGCCATTGCTGGAGCCATCTCGCTGGCAGGGCAGCCCCAGCGGGCACACCACTGGGGTTGCTTTGCTCTGGCCCCAGGGAGATGGAGTGAGGGTCAGCCTCTTGGGCTCAATGGCATCCCACCCGGGGAGAACGCTCGCCCCACGTGCACCTCTGCGGGGCCGGGTTGGACTGTGCATGCTGGGAAAGGACGCTGCCCGACCGATGCTTCCAGAGGGCTGGAGAAGGCGCCGTGGGATTGGCCAGGACTCAGGTGATCAGCCCACTCCTGGGAAAATCCTGGGCGAGCAGGCCTTCCACCGCACAGTGCCCTGCTACCCACGGGGGGCGCCAGCACCCACAGGCACTCAGAGGAGAGCGCCCCCTACTGCCCTGCTGTGATGTAGTGTCCATACATTGCTGGTTGCTAGGCTTGGGCTGTGGGCGACTCCTACTGGCCTGTCTGTGAGCACGGCCCAGCGGGGGCGCCTGGAAGGCCCCCGTGACAGTGACCGAACCGGTCCTACCGGCTAAGGGAAGGGAGGGTACAAAGGAAAGGAGTGTGGGGGGAGGGGCAGTCTTTGGCTGGAACCCTGAAGGAGACGGACGCCGGAGGGAGGCTGGGGGTCTAGGGGCCCAGGGACCCATCTCAAGGGGGCTGAGGCATCCTGGCTCTGACTCCTGTAGCCACGTCACGTCTGTGCTGGATCCCGGAGGAGCAATAACCCCCGTTCTACCGGCTGGCGGAGTCTGTTCTGGCTGCTTCGGGGCTGCAGGATCAGGGGACCCCGACATGCCATCACAGTCGATGCTAGCTCCTGCTGCACCTGCCCTCAGGGCTCCCCGCCGTGCAGACGCAGCCCCCACTCCAGAACCCCCCAACCCTTGTGTGCGCGAAGCCGGCCGAGCCCCAGGGCACCCCAA